AAAACCCCTAGCCCACCACCGAAACGCCTTTATCCTGACCTCTCAGATATCTCTAGTTCAACTTCCACTTATTCTCCACTTTATCTTCAACTCTCTAAAACAACTACTATATATAATTACCTTTCCCAAGAGGATTTAGACTACTTTGAACAGCCAGAATCAACAAATTTATTTGAACAAAGCCCTTTATCTATACCCAAACAAGCAGTCTCCAAGCAAATAATAAATTCAGATAATTCAGAAAAAGAAAAAAATATGGGTGACTTAGAACAAGCTGCTCGAGCTATGACCCAATTAGCAGAAACTATTAGAGGAGAAGAAGAAGCAGAAAAATCTCTCATCAAGATTAAACTATTTAGAGGAGATAGTACTGAGGATTCTATCGATTGGATTAATGAATTTGAACAGGCTACTACTGCCAATAACTGGAGTGCTGCTAGAAAACTTGCCATCGCTAAAACCTATATGCATGACAATGCAGAAGACTAGTTAAAAGAAACAGAAGAAGAAATTCAGCAATATGATACTGGTGATAATAATAATCAATTTAAAGTAAAATTTTTAGAACAATCCATAACTATCAAGAAGTAAGCTATGTGACAACAGGAATTTTTTAACCTAAAACAAGAAGCAAAAACTGTAAATACCTATGCTGCCCAGTTTAAGAAACTACAAAAGAAAGTAAACCCAGACCCAGAGTATGCTTTTCCTGATCCTTTCATTGTTTAGCTTTTCATTACAAGATTGCGATCTGAATATACTATCTCTGTTCAAGTATCATCTCCAGAAGACTTAGATGCTGCTATCACTACTGCCAAACAATAGGAAACTAGAAGATTAATGGCTTCAGCAAAAGACCCAGTAATGAATGCTATTAGTAATCTTACTAGCCACTTTGACAAATTAGCTATTAACATGGTCTAACAACAACCAGAACCCCAACCAAAACCTGTTTACACAGCTAAAAGAGAATCTGGGTTCTCTTGCCAAAACAACTTTAATCAGGATAGAGCTCTTTGTTATTATTGTGGAAATCTAAAACATTTTATTGCTGACTGTAGAAAAAGATGGAATGATAATCAAAGAAACAGAAACAACAGAAGAAGAACTAACAATAATAATAATAGGAGAAATAATAATAACCATTACAATAACAACAATAATCGAAGAAACAGAGATAGAAGTCAATCTCATGATAGAAATTATAGAGATAGAAGTCAATCCAGAGACAGAAATTACAGAAGCAGATCTAGAGATCGAAGTCAAGATAGATAGGAACCTAGGTCTAACCGCTCACTATCACCTTACTACCAAAATATTAATATGGCTGAAAAGCAACCTATCTCTAATTCTAACAATTGGGAAAAATTGTTAGACAATTATTCTATCAGAACTGCTTTAACTACCTATATTATTGAAGCCAATAGAGAAAATACCAGACCTCAACCTATTAGCACCATTATCCCTGTTAAATACTATATTGATATTCAAGACCGCATCTACCCTGCTATTATTGATAGTGGAGCCTCTGTTAGTATGATCTCACACCAAACTATAAAAGAATTAGGCTTTAAAATTGAAGAACCATCAAAAAGTCTTATTGTTGCTGCTACTGCCACCACCTCTAGACCTCTTGGAATTATTAGAAATTTGTCTATTAGGATCCAAGGTCAACTTATCCCCTTGGATGTAGAAGTTGTACTTGCCACCTCTTATTCTATTTTGCTTGGAAATAATTGGTCAAAGAAAGTAGAAGCCAATTATAATTGGAAAACATGCCAATATACTCTCTATTGGAAAGAAAAGAAGATTGTTCTTGATACTTCTTATGAGCAAAAAAAAGAAACCAACCTGTACTACTGCAGAAGACTTTGAGTTATATGAGCAGAAATATCTAACACCTATGAAGTTTATGCATTTTTTGTATCCTCAGAAGATGAAGATCAAGAATAGACTACCTACCAACCCAATGAAGAAAACCACCTTGCAAAACCTGTGATCAAGCTAACCACCAGTACAAGGATTGCCCTAGGAATCGATGTTATCATTGCAATAAATTTGGACATGTATTTATTAACTACCCCAACAAATGTAAAAGGTCAAATAACTGTAGAACTTGTAGACAAACTGCTCACTTGTTTAAGGATTGTCCTGATAACCAATACTATAGCTATGATAAATTTGGCTACATCAAAATTAACTACCCTCTTGCCCAACTCAAACTTGACAATTTGATTTACAAATGTAGTTGTAATAAAGACCAAATAGAAGAAAGGAGAATAAGTGGAAGTTGAACTAGAGATATCTGAGAGGTCAGGATAAAGGCGTTTCGGTGGTGGGCTAGGGGTTTT